CCTAACCCTCAACTGTCAAAACATAATAGTACAATCAGGTGCCACCAGCGGCATACCTGAAGCGTATCCCGATTGTTATATATTATTATATTATTGTCACCAAGTGACATATATAACGGTCATTCAACGACCTATCCACTTAATTGCAGGCTTGCTGCACGTTATCGTTTCTAATGCCCAACGCCGACGACCGCCAGTTGTCAACCAGTTGCACACCAGCGACACACAACCCTGAAGTCGACTCAATGACCAACCGACGAATACGACCCCACGCCGATTAGGACTAGTCTCCGTGGAACCAAAATTGTCCTTTTCAGGACAACCTCTATATTGTTTGGGTCACACTTATCCGAATGAGACTCACGGAACGGATGCCACTTTCATAAGCGGCCCCGACGTGATAAGATCTCGTTCCCCACCCAATTTATGTACATACTATACGAGCTTGTATTTATTATATATTGAAACACGTTGTTCACGTGTTTTTTCAAGGTTTCGAAGACCGCTACGCYATCGGTCCCCGACTCCTCATTTTTGTATATTATAATATTATATTTACACAGAAATAAAAGGATTATTTATTTACCAAATACCAACAAGTTCATTTTTACGAGACAGCAGCGCATTTAGCGTGCGGTGCGTGCCGTATCATAGTTTTAAATACATATATATATATTATTGATTATTATAAGGTATTAACAGCATGTACAATATACATTTAATTAGATAAAATAGATACTTTGGTGAATCATATAAATGCATGTAACCAGACTGTGCCGTTAAGATTTGGCGCCCTGGGCAAAATTAAACCGTTAATACGGTAAGTACGGCACATAAAAAAGCTTATGTTGCACGAGGTAATTTTTTATATTGTAACATATTTCTATTAACAACTAATATTTTAATACTTTTTTTCATTCCTTCAAATATTTCATAAAATGTAAACTTAGATAAAATGTTTATAAAATAATCAGTTATTATTGGTATTAATTTATACTTTACAGCACCAACAAAAAAAGAGRCAAAGGTAAAAATCAGCATTATGGCCCTAAATTATTTTWATGGGTATGATTATTTACGATATTTATTAATTTCTATCTTTTTCATCAATAAATACATAACATTATTTAATTTCAGCTATGACCATTTCCTTGGAGAACAAGAAGGATGGATATCGCTAAAATTATTAAAGAGAATTCGTTGAAGAACACAAACAATATTAAATTAACCAATAGTTTAATTTCTTTTTACACCTATTATCCGTCATAAATACACAGTGACTTGGGCACTCAATGTCTAAGTTATCACTCAATACCTTTATTATTTTCATATTATAGTCTAATTTTTGTCATATATATATTATATTTCCAAATTATATACACTATACATAATTGTTATATTGGAAGTATAATATATATGGCTAAAATTAGACTGTAATATGAAAATAATAATGATATTGATTGATTACTTATTCATCGAGTTCTTATATCATTGTGTTGTKACGGTAATCTGTGTAAAAAGAAATAATCGAATTGGTTAGTTAAATGTTTTTATACTTAAATGCTTATTGTTACTGTTTGAAATAATATCAATAAAATAAAAAATGTATTACATAATAGTTATATGTATAGTATAAATACTTATTAATGTATTGATAAAATGAATCGGTAACTTAAAATTCAAAATACTGATTCTGATAGGTAGTATATAATATAATATGATAGACTTAATAACTATACATTTTATATAAGCTATATGTACCTTATAGTCAATCTCAATAATTAATTTACTCGTTTTAAAAATTAAAACCTTTTCAATATAAAAATGTTATTTTTTATTACTAAAAAAAAAATAGTTTTAATTTACATAATAACTATGCATTTCCCCCATAAAATTATTCAGTTTATTATATAACTCAATTTACATATTAATTGATTACAATTTGCTTGCATTTTTGTTTTTGATTATTGTTTTTAGCTGATATCTRAATAGGCAGTCATTTCAGCACAACTCGACGTTTTATTTGAGTTTACTTATTAAACTCAAAATAT